AAAATAAATGTATTCTTCCTATCACGCTAAGTAGCATTTCCCCTTGATTATAGTCATTCTTAGGCTCTGCTGTATATTCTTCAATGGGCCGAGATATAGGACTTTCCACTTTTCTATACTCTCCTATGTAAAAGTAAGGGGGGAAGTGCGGTTTATAATGGGTGGTGGCTTTATTCTTCTCACTTCTGGGATTTCTGTGCTTACCGCCTTCTTTATTCTCCATTTTTTCCAGCCATAATTTCTTCAGGGTTATGTTTGCAACAGTATTGTTCTGAATAAATCAACGTGGTTTGTACCTATAATATTATGGAAGAAAAAGTAACAGTAACATTCCTTGTGTGGCTGTCTTTGTACAGCATTGGCTGTTAGTTAGCCAATGCTGTACAAAGATATCCACACAAGGAATGTTACTGTTACTTTTTCTTCCATAATATGATAGGGCATATTTGCAAGAAATTATATCTCAATTTGTTGCTCAAATGAGGAAATCCTTGTATTTCCACGAAGCTGAAGAAAACTATCAGTAAACAATGTTAGTTCTTAGATTTTTTTTAAAAAATGTCTTTGAGTGTTGTTAGGACTAAAAAGATAAATGTGAGATTAACTGTAGTTCTCTCCATTAGATGACTCCTTTATATCCACAGCATTCCTCTGGTCCACTAATTTTGTCACTTGGTCAAAGAATGCAATAAGATTTGTCTGGCATGATTTGTTTTTGACAAACCCATGTTGGCTTTTAGTAATGACTTTGTTTGCCTCTAGGTGTTCTCTGATTCGTTGTTTGATTACCTTTTCCAGAATCTTCCCAGGTATTGAGGTCAGGCTGATAGGTCTGTGGTAATTAATAGAGCAGAGAAATGCCACTGAGTGTTCCTCACATCCCATTAATTGCCTCATGAATCCGATAAGCATTTTAAAATGCCACATACTCATGCTGCAGCTTTTCTCTCACCCCCAGTCAACAACTGATGCAACAAAGTAATCTTTGGCTTTTCCAACTCAAAAGTGTTATTTTCCTTCCTCTCCTAAGAAGGTTTTGGGTGATCTAACATGCTAGTTGATGTCATCTAACATGCTAGTGATGTAGCTGATGTCAGGAGATCTTCCCATCTCCCGTTAGGCTCCCCTTGGTCACTGGGTACTGCTCCTATTTTTACTTGGACTGCAGAAAGGCTATATATCCTTTAGGACAGGGGTAGTCAACCTTGGCTCTTTTATGACTCGTGGACTTCAATTCCAGCTGGCTCAGGAATTCTGGGAGTTGAAGTCCACGAGTCATAAAAGAGCCAAGGTTGACTACCCCTGCTTTAGGACATCTACCTGTGTGTAAAACTAAAGAAAGAACAGATGTAGCAGATGCTTATTGTAGAGCAGGGTGTCAAACTGCTGGCCAGTGGGCCGGATGGCAAAAAAGTCACAATGCGTCGCGACGTCATGTGACGTTGCGAGTTTGACACCCCTGTTGTAAGAAACCCTGCTTAAGGAAAGGCCAGGAGAAATGTGACTGCATTTTATATTAAGAGACTTGGTCTTAACTCTGGTTTCATTAAAGTTCCTATCTTATTACCTCAAGATATACATTTGACTGGAATTTGCATTGGTTAGGACAGAATTAAATTGTTTTAGTGTTCTGTTCACTACAAGATATTTCTGAAGCACTTGAGACTGGCTTACGAACAGCCTGTCAGCATGTTATCATCTGAGAACTGCCTGAAAGTACAGATATTTGTCTGTGTCCAGGCTGTGAAATCCTGTTCTCCCCTGTACGTGTTGGCTTTGAATGTAGAGCCAACATTTAGGAATAGCTGGAAAGTGTGAACAGGAAAGCCACAAGAGTTCATACCACAAGCTCTCTAAATTATAATTATAAATTCATAACATGAGCCTATATGTGTTTACTACATTGAGGAGGTTTTCCTCTGATAAGTGTACAGTATAATGATTGCCTAAAGTAAATATTTCTTTAGGTAATTCCATATTTACAATCTGGGAGATTAACACCATTGAGTTGTTTTACAGATTTATTTTCAAAATTTGCAGAAATGTCCAGTATCTATTTTTATTATTCACTGATTTGAAACAGATGCTGGTCCATGCTATAACACTTCTATCTTTCTAAATATTTCTGTCCTCAGTAACAAGCCAAGTTACTCAACTGGGGTGGGGTTTGGTATGTTTATTGAATCAGTTGCATCCAGTTTCTGTCCAAGCTGAGTGCTGCTAAAGTTCTCCTACCCATGCAGCTGCTAAGACACAGGAATACCACTGGCCAAATTGTTGGAAGGATGGAAAAATAAGGAAAATAAAAAAGACAAAGGGACAGAAAGAATATATTATTGTGCAATTAATTTTCACATAATACTTAAACAGGCAAATCGGCTGCATTCTATTCTACAACATTAATGGCTAACAATCTAGGCCACATTTCAAAAGATAGAGCAGAGGTCCCCAACCTTTTCGGCACCAGGGACCAGTTCCGTGGAGAGAGGTTTTTCCATGGACCAAAGGGGGTGTGGTTTTGTGTATTGCCTGCATCCAGTGAATGGGACTTCAACTTATTTGCACCCAGTTTCTGGCATGCTGCGGACCAGTGCCTGTTCACGGACTGGGGGTTGGGGACCCCGGAGGTAGAATATAGAATTTCCCTAATTGCTTTCCTCTTGTGTTTTGTTTTCTTTCTTCCTGTTGCCGCTGTCCTTTTTGTTGCTGCATTTGATTTAGTGGAATCTGTTACTAACACAATGGTTCCCATTTATTTTACACAGTGGCTAAAAGTGGGTTTAGGCTTGGTTGGTACTGAATGGGAGAATGGGAGAACACTAAGAAATTCTAGGACTGTAGGTCAGAATTGGGAAATTAAAAAAAAAACATTTTGGAAGAAGACAGTGGCAAATCACTTATGTATTTCTATCAAGAAAAGTTCATGTGTATTTGTATGTAATGTTCTGGTCTGGAGCTTAGAATAAGAATTTTTATCTTATTTTGTATGCTTGCTCTGACTTCTATGGGAGCTGAGCTTTAACACATCTGTAAGGTATGAAATTAATTACTGGAAAAAAAGTAAAATGAACAAAACAAAGTTGAAGAACTAACAAATCAGAAACCACTGTATCTTCTCACCAGAATGAGAATTTAAGCCTGTTAGATCAGCATTGCTAATGGTTGGGGATGATGGGTCTTAGAGTTCATCAATATCTGGCAACCACATTTTTCCTAATCCTTTTATATGCAGTACAGCTCAGTGGAGGGTGGTTGGCCTTTAGGATTTTACTGACATGCTGGGAAAACACATATTAGGTACGTTCAATGCCTTGGATTTGTTTCCAAAAATATGTTCTGTTTAGGAGCATGTAGGTAACATCTGTCGCAACTTTTTAAAACAGCACCCCTTTTCCTAAGATCATACAGCACCTGCTGCTGATTTTGAGAAAAGACATAGCCCCAAAGCACTTTTTTGGGAAACTGAAGCATTGCCTAGCTTTAACAAAGAGCTTCATTAAAGCCCAGTGCTCAGCATCTTTCTAGTGGGACTAGTGTTATGCAGTGGGGAAGGAACCAAGTGAGGGTGTCAAAACTAACAAATCGGTGTATGCGACATCCTGATCCAAGCCCTGCCGCTTTTGTATGTGCAGCAACATCAAAAATATGTACAAAGGAGTAGGCTTGAATTGTGACTCCCTAGCTGACATCTTGCTACTTTTGATATCGCTGCCTTATTCCACACCCTGCAGACACTACTGATGTAGTTAAGCTATTTGAACATATATAGTCCAGTCGGGACACTTTAAATCAGGGGTCCTCAACCTTGGCAACTTTAAGACGTGTGGACTTCAACTCCCAGAATTCCTCAGCCAGTGAGGAATTCTGGGAGTTGAAGTCCACACCGTCTTAAAGTTGTCAAGGTTGAGGACCCCTGCTTTAAATCTACCTTTCAGCCATCAATAGACACACAGAAATCAACCATATTTAGACACTTTTCAAAAGAGATAACAAAAAAGTTAAGAAGAAAACAAAAAGACATGAACACATTCTCTTTTAACAGCCATCATCCAGATAAGCAGCCTCCAGACAATCAAGGACAAAACGATACCCTAATTGAGGAGCTACCAAGGAGAAAAGCCTAATCTCACCAATACTGGCTTGGCAAACTACTGTATATAACCCCATAGTCACTTGTACTGATGATATTACCTAGCAAGCAAGCAAGCTCAGAAGCTAGGTTTTTATATTTGAAGTTAATTTACTTAGTTTTCTTCATTGCATTATTTGAAAGTTGTTAATGACCGCTTCTTATTTTTATTTTATAAATTCATGCTATGTGTTGGCTCTAATATATTAATATCATTCTAGGCCTGTTTTCCTGTAGAAAATAGAGAGGGGAGGAGAGGAAAGATTAGCTGGTTCAGACTATATATCGCATGTAAAGTCCCTACTGATTGCACACATAATATGCTAAGCTAAAACTATACATATTTTAAACATTGTGATATGTGAACCTGGCCAGTATGTTCACTTTGCACTCAAAACCACTGAGAGCAGTGAAGCTCTTCTGAGAACTGTGTTGTTTATGAAATAGGCTGATGATAATATTACTTGTTAAAGTTTCATTATTATTTTTTTTTAAAAAAGGAGCACATTTATATAATTTACACTGTTGCCAGAAGAATAGGTATACGGTTTAAATGCTATTCAGAGTTTCATGAGTAAAATAATATTAATAGGTCATTACTGTAATTATCTGAGAAGTGATTTACTCTGAATTTTGTCTATTCCTGGAAAAGGGAGTAACTTTGGCAGGCACAATTTGAAGGGCTTTCAGAATTTCAAAATGGCTATCTTGGGAAAGAACAAAATGTTCCGAGTGTGTTATAATCACAATGTTTTTGATCTCATCACAGAGGTCTACTCCGGTCATCCTTTTTTTTCCCTGTTCAGATACAGTCTCTGCATTTTTGTACAGACACCAGGTGTGTATTTTCAAATATGTCATACAAGAACTTTACCAAAGGAATCCATAAATGGCTGCAGTTATATGCTCTTACACAGCTACAAATGTGGCTTTGCATAATATCAGAGATAGTCTATGATTTCAGTCAAAATGTATAAAGCATTGGTAGAAATCTAGATTTGCACCATAGACAAGAAGGCTGCAATTATCTAACCACTTATCAGTGGGAATTACAAACAGACATAGGCTTGTGCTATAAGCTGTCACATGAAAGGATTCAGTCATGTAAGTGCCAATATAATGACTATATTTGAAATAGGGAAGCAGTGAGCACAATGAGAGAGGTACAGTGGAACCTACAGAATTCCTCCTTGGCTACAGAGCCACGGCGGTGCAGTGATAAGAATGCCATATTGCCAGCAGTTCAATCCTGACGAGGCTCAAGGTTGACTCGGTTTTCCATCCTTCCAAGGTCAGTAAAATGAGGATCCAGAGCTGACTCTGTAAACCGCTTAGAAAGGACTGTAAAGTACCATGAAGCAGTATATAAGTCTAAGTGCTATTGCTATTCACACATTGTGCTAAATCAGTGGTTCTCAACCTTTTTAATGCCGCGACCCCCAACCGGTCATAAGTTGAGGACTACTCAACCGGTCGTAAGTCAAGGACTACTCAACTGGTGCAGCACCGTTTGCAGAATAGAACTTTTGGCGGGCTCAGCAGGGCAGAGACAGCCTGGACAATTCCTATTGGCTTTTCAAAGCCAATAGAATTAGACTCTATTCAAGAGAGTCTATTCTATTGGCTTTCAAAAGCCAATAGAATAAAAGGGAGTAGCACAGCTAAGGAAAAGGGGGAAAAAATGGCGGACTGCGTTGTTTGGCGACCCCCGTGAAATGGTCGTTCGACCCCAAATGGGGTCCCGACCCACAGGTTGAGAACCATTGTGCTAAACCATTATGTGGTTTGTGGAGTTTTTGGTTTCTGTAATACACGAACATCAGTTATTGTCTTTTGATTTGTAAAGTAAATTTATGGAAAAATGTAAATCTATGGCAGAACCTCACAAGTCTCCCCATATTCTATTTTCATGACCTCTAATAGTTCCATTGCCAGTCATTACCAGTATAAGCAGGACCCGATTAAACTCTCTGTCATTTTTAATAAGTTTAGCACATTTTTTTTTTAAAATAAAACCCAGAGCAGGGGAGAAGTAATTCCCTATCCCTACACATAATACAGCCCCAGCCCTTTTGTTTTATCACTAGCCTGCCAGCACAGCTCTGTCCACTTCAACCACCATGGTGAAAGATTGTACACTTAAGGCTTAGGATTTAGATCAGAAGTCTCAAACTCTCTAAGCCTATTCAGTTCTTCAAGTTATTTTTTGTGGCCCACAATATCTTAAAAAATGCAGAGGACATTGCCCAGTAATGCCTGGGGCCCGAGCGACATATAGATATGTGAATTAGGTTACAAGAAAAAAAGTTCTGGAAATGAAGAAGAGAAGGAGAAAAAATGATCAAAGAAAGAACATCCCCCATTTTACAACCTTTCTTGTCACAGTTGTTAAATGAATCACCGCGGTTGATAAGTTAGTAACCTGGTTGTTAAGTGAATCTGGCTTCCCCATTGATTTTGCTTGTCAAAAGGTTGTAAACACATGATTTTGGGACACAGCAACGGTCATAAATATGAACCAGTTGCCAAGCATCTGAATGTTGATTACATGATCATGGGGATGCTACAAAAGTTGTAAATGTGAAAAATGGTCATAAGTCACGTTTTTCTGTGCCGTTGTAATTTTGGTCACTGAATGAATGAATTGTTGTAAGTCGAGGACTGTCTATGTACTATAGTTAAAAATGAAAATGACAGGATGCAAGAATGCCTATGTTTGTAGAATTCCTTGAAAGAAATTCAGAGACGAGGTTCGGAGTAGCAGAATAAAGTTTCTTTTATTATCAAAAATCAAGTTTAGCAGGAAAAGACGGTTTGCAAAGCGTGGTGGAACTTAACCCGTACTCACAAGAGTCACAAGGAAAAGCCACACCTCCTACAGAAGCTAACAGCAGTTATACCCCTCCCTATCTCCTCCTATACCTACGTCAGCTATTCCTGACGTGGCAGGTCACAAACCTATCAGACGACACAATTATTCTACCTTACCTCCTACCTTACCATATATGGGTATTCTTTTGTTCTCTACATGTGGACATTCTTTACTTAGTTCCAGGCACGTACTCAGGTTTTCTTGCACATGCTCAGTGAGCCTGTTACTGAATAGAAAATTTTAAACTTTTCTAGAACCTTCCCATTCAATTCCCCCATTTCTTATTTGGTCACTAGTTTAATATTTTCTTTTTGAAATGCTTTCCATGTTTCCGACTCCTCAAGATTAGCCTTCTTTACTCGGGTATAATGAGTCCAACCCTTTTCTTGTGTTCGAATGGCAGTGTCTGTGGTCAATAACACCAAGAACGGTCCATCCCACTTCGGTTTGAGGGAATCATCTTTCCACGTCTTTATCCACACTTGGTCTCCGACTTCTATGGAGTGGACTTTGAAGCTTAGAGGAGGAGTTTGTATCAAATAGCCAGTTTTTTTGCGTTTCCTTTGGTGGCATTCGTAATGCAGGCTTCACATCCTTCTGTTTTTGTTGCTCTCCTATATCGTTCTCCAGTCATAGATCTGGTTTGGACATTCGATTACTGTCGCTTTAAAGGTTCTGGATTTGGAACACAGGTCCACTGTTCTTTTGGTTCAGCTACTGGTCCCTTCACTCGTGTGTAGTGGGTCCACCCTTTTTCTTTCGTCCAGACTGCTGTTTCAGAGGTCAGCAACACTGGAATGGTCCTTCCCACTTAGGTTGCAGTTTTTCCTCCTTTCACGTTCGGATCAGGATCCACTGTCCCACCTCAAACTTGTGGACAGGAAATTTCAAAGGGGGTGTTTAGATCAGCAAGCCTTGTTTCCTGAGATAAGACAAAGCAGAAAACAGCCCCAGTATCTAATTCTTTATAAACATGTCATTAGTTTTCATATTGTGGAATTTCCTACTTGAGATGATTTAAAATCAACTTGAATGCATTGAAATAGCCTCACCATTAGATGTTATAGAGCATTTTATGTATTTGTCTACATATCATATAACCAACCATATATTAACCATAGAAAAGTATCAATTATCCCTCCCCTAGCCATTTCTTTTATCCGTATTTACAAACACATTGCTTAGTAAAGAGCCAACAAAGGAGCGCTCACCAACTCTGCTTGAGTTTGTTTGCATACAAATCTTTATTCAAAACATAGCTCATTTATAATCCCAAAATTTTCTCAACTCCTTCGTTTTAAACAAGGGTTGAATTACCATTCCTTCAGGTCTCCTAGATATTATGTTTTTATCAGTGTGTCCTGCACACAGACATAAAAACATAAAAATAAAACTACAGTATAGGTGTATTCAAGTTCTTCTCATATTTCATTACTATAAGAATGGGTATTAAATTTCACATCCACCCCACCTTCCTCCCAAAGCAGAATTCCAAGCGGAGAAAAAAGTTAAAATGAGCAGCCCCCCCCCCTTTTCTTTCTGTCTCTCACTCTTAAAGCAACACAGCCAGCTGAAAACGAAGGGGGAGGAATAGCTTTCTCTCCTTCACATGAATTTGCCATAAATTCTCTCACATTCTCCATGGAACTCTTCTCATGCAAACACTTGCTAAAACAATAAAACCTGCAGTTTAAATGGGGGAGAAACTCACTCACACACACACACACACACAGAGAGAGAGAGAGAGAGAGACAGGATCAGCATATCCATACATTCACTTCCATTCAAACTGCTTGTATAAACACTTTCATATAGGGATATTTCATTTCATACTTTCTCTTGACAAATCAATAACTATTATTATTATTTCAAGGAGCTGTTCAAAAGCCAATGAGCTCCTTTCCCTCCCCTAGTAAAAACTATCCTCTTCTTCCCACACTGAGTAAACTTGCTGTTCTCTCGCGCGTTTAGGGCAATTTTTTTTTTTTTTTTTTAAAGTGGCCCTTCATTCCACATCCAAAGCACGTTGTCTCCTTATTCTGGTATCCACCTTGAAATCCTCCAAATTCCCTTCCTCTACTCCCATTAACATACTGGTTCCTTTCATCCCCCCTATATCTTGTCTCAAAGGGACTCTTCTTATCCCCAAACTCTCTTCTAGGAGGTTTTTCCTGCTTCATCACTTGCTGTTCTGTTGCTACCATCATCTGTCACCCAAATTAGCGCATAATCTAATTCATTATCTAAACTCTTACATTTCTTTTTCTTCACATAGTTATATAAATTGTGACACTGAAAATAATCTGTGGAGCCATTCCTTGGCCACTCCACATTATCGTCCTCCCACCAAACAAAACAACATAAATTGACCATATCTTCTTTATTCAACCCCAACCTCAAAATCTCCCGGTTATAGGGCGGGGATCCCCATCCAGCCAATATTTTGCCCAAAGGGCCATTCGGGTCGATTTTAAGTTTGGGGTTTTTACGGATCCTTTTAACACACTTTTTCCCCGGATTGGTCGACCCTGTATTGCCCCCCATTTCTTTTATGGGTGCTCAGCCTATCTTGAGTATGTGTGCCTATGTCCCTCCCAGCAACTCCTTCTCAATTCCACACGTCACCGTCTCCGGATATTCAATAATATCCCCTTCACTCACTCCGTCCTGCAGACCTCCCCGAGGTCCCTCAAAAGGACTTCCACCCGGCCCCGTTGCCAGTTCTCACATCCACACACTCTATCCCGACCGCCCTGGACTCTTGTGTTCTGGTGTTTTCAAACCAGTACTCACCAGGGTCTGCGCGCAGATGTTACCCGGTCTGTCTTCAGGCTGTTCCGCACTTTATTCACCCTTCTCCTAATACTCGTCTTTATTAAAATTTTACGGGTTTTCCAAGAGCTCCGCAGTCCTCTGGGTGGTTCCCCTCCTTTCAAAAGGAAAGGGGTGCACCTAAGGAGGACCCCTCAGAGTCCCAGCGCAGATTGGATCCCGGACGAGCCCCCAATTTGTTTGTAGAATTCCTTGAAAGAAATTCAGAGACGAGGTTCGGAGTAGCAGAATAAAGTTTCTTTTATTATCAAAAATCAAGTTTAGCAGGAAAAGACGGTTTGCAAAGCGTGGTGGAACTTAACCTTCCCATTCACCTATAAAATTCTTCTATTCTCTTCTGAGTTTGGGGTTATCAGAGCTTCATTTTGAAAATGAACAAGGTAATTAGCATCCCCCTTTGCATGCAGTGATGGTTTCTCATCCTAATGGGATGATTGTTGTTGCCCCTAGAAAGCTAAATAAATAAAACAAAAAGCCCCAGCCAAAACAAAGTTTGTAGGGAAAATAATAAATTATGACTTGTCTTGGTTTTCATGTTGCATTTGGGCATATTCAGTGATATTTGAAGCATAATTAGCTCAACCATTTTGCATTTTTGTGCAAATGCAGTTTACTGATTTCTGATAGGAATTTGAGCAATTTGCCTGGCAAGCTGGCACCAAGATGAATACAGCCAGCACAGAAATTATACATATCAGGTGTCAGCATCTCAAAGGCTTAGGTTCATAAATCCTCCCTAAATCATATTAAGGTTTGCACTGAGTGCAATGTGTGAGCACAAATATTTGGAGATCAGCTAAGCAACCAGTATGACAACATATCATAGCGAAAGTCCCACTGCTGCTATAGCAAATAAAAAAGGAAGTTGCTTTTCTCCCTGTGTTCCTTTGGCTGCGATACTTTATATTTCAACTATTCTGGAATAGAATCAGACAGCAATGCTGTCTGCCTATAAATCTAAGGACTGCTGTGGCTGAAGATGATTTGAGCAGATGAATAAACAGCAAGAAGACGAGAATCGGAGGCTGTCTTACACACCAAATGAGCTATAAATCCGTTTCTGTCCTGGAAGAGAATCTCCAAGCAGAATCTGGCATCCAAATTTGCAGAGGATAATTTATGACAGCAAGTTTGGTTTCTGTCTTAACAAACTACCCAAGAAATTTGAATTATAGGTATGCTGGAGAATGCTGGTGTCAAAGCAAGCACACATAAAAAGACTTTCTGCATCTCTACTGCCACCCAGTGGGAAGTGTGTGGGAAATGCAAAATGATATAGCAAAGCAAAGCAACAAACCCCAAAAGTAATAATGCTTTCATCTTCTCCAATATTGAAAATAAATAGAAAATAAAAAAAAGGAAAAATAAAAAATAAATAAAGCTAGTAAATAAAAAAATAAAGCTATGTCCAAAACCACATGTTTTAATTAGTTATTATCTAGAGAAACAAGGGGAAGAGACGGCCCGGGGATAGCCGTCTCAGTGTCAAAAGGGGAAAGTAACAGGAAAGGGTTAGAAAATAAGTTATTGTCAGCATGTAACGCAAGATATCCATGTCCTCCCCTTTCACCTCCCAGCTCTGTCAAATGAATATCTCAGTGATTCAGCTGCTTCTGCTGCTGTTCCTGTTCCTTGGACCATTTTGTTCACCTGCGCCACGACTCTCGGTATGTAGACGCTGGATACTTGTGATGAGTTTTCTACTAACACCAAGAAAAGAATCCTGAGTGGCTGTAAAATTGCTGAATATTTGGAAATTTTCTCAATACAAAGAGAGTTAGCTTGTTGGCTTGGTCAATACTCAAGCCATTGCTGAAGATTATAATAGCCTAAACGTTTACATTTAAAATTTAAATAAATAATGAATACGCCTGTCATTCACTTGTTGAATAATGAGCAATCTCTGTTGCAATGTATAAGACTTCAGCGTGCTCCCTTTTTCAAGCATGCTGCCTTCAATCTTCAATATGAAAAAGTTGCACATGGTATGGGACAGCGCACACGCGCGCACACACGCACACACACACAGACTATGGCCTAACCCTACTGGTATTCTATTGCTGAATAATCATAACTACCATAAATTGAACAAATAAATGACCATAAAGGCTGAGGATCGTGTTAGGAACCTTATTTTGCTGCTGATATCTTACTCTAAATACAAAGTTAAAGATATATGTGTTTTTCAGGCAAATATTTTTCCCCTTACTTTCAGAAAAAGGAGGAATGCCTCTTAGAAAACAGCAAACTACAGAAGAAGTTGAAAATGCTTCAAGATTTATACCAGTTATATGAATTTCAGTTGAAAGATCTGCTGGGGAACAACTATCACAGAAGAAAAAGCAAAGTTTTCTCTGCCAGGAAGACAGCATCTCTGAATATGTTTTTGCCCACAACTAGTGGAAGTCTCTTAGTCTATGATCAAGGTACACTATCTAGGGCAGGGGTGTCAAACTGCCAGCCCACGGGCTGGACGCGTGACGAGGAAACGATGCCCACCCCATTGCCGGCAATGGGGGGAAAGTTCCGATATGTCGTGTGACATCACGTGATGTTGCGAGTTTGACATGTCTGATCTAGGGATAAATCTGTCTTTCTTGAGAATTACCTTATTATGATAGCATTCTGTAGACTCTTGGTGTTCAGTCATATTATGACAGTTAGAACAATTAATCAGTGGAACAACATGCCTTCAGATGTAGGTGCTCCAACATGGGGTTTTTAAGAAGAAATTGGACAACCATTTGTCTGAAATATTATAGGGTTTCCTTCTTGAGCAGGAGGTTGGACTAGAAGACCTCCAATGTTCCTTCCAACTTTGCTATTCTACTATTGTGTTATTCAGTTCCGAACATCCTAAAAGCCACATTTCCTGGGTAAGTGGGAATTTGTAATCCAAAAATGCCTTGAGAGCAATTAATTGGGGATGGCTAGATTAGTATTACCTTAGCTGGTTTCAATAATTTATTTTTTATTTTTAAACAGGTAAAGTTTTATTCAGTGAAACATTAATCATATTAAATAGATTGAATAGATTGAGGTGAAAACTCAGAAAAATGTTGTTAGGTCAAATGGATGAAATTTTCAAAAGAGAGAGATGGAAAGTTTAATAGGCAGTGCATTAAGCTGATTATGAATATGACAGAAGCAAGAATGGTTTATAAGGATAGAAAAATACGGCGAGTGCTTTAAATGTAAGCTATGTTTAGCTATAGTTCTTTGCTTTCACTTGTTTTTATTTTGTAAAACTTTGCTTACCTGGAAATGTAATAGCATGAGAGATGTTTATACTGGTGTTTACTCTGAATCTAGTGAAACTTGCTACTGAGCAAACATGTAGAAAGGCAGCTTCTTCAAATTATGTCTTGATAACTTAAGAATTTGGGAGAAAGATTATGCAGCTGTTTTTTGTTTTAGAAAGATCATTTTTCATAGAGAGGCTCTATCCACTTTAACATTGGCTCTAGCACAGTTGGAAGTAGGACTTTTGAAATCTTTCTCAAAATGGGGCTGAAAGAGGTCTGTATCTCTGATATAAACATTATTAATACATTTAAATAATTATGATTTATTTGTATCTACACCAGGATTAGGATTGATATTTGAGCAAATGGGACATGCAAAACAAATTAGTTCAGATTCATCTTCCACAGAACCTAATTATTCTTTTGTAGCTATTAATAAGGTATAGTCAGTCTTTCTGAGACCATGAGCTACACTTTTAAACTGTTTCAATTTTCAGTGTCTATGGAGATGCTCAGTCATCCAGGTGATGGTTGTCCCACAGGTGTTTTTCAAAAAACAACTGGACTTTCTTGGGTTTTTTTTTCCCTTAAAAACCTTTGCTTCTTGGATAAGAAGCAAACATTTTCAAGGAAAAAAAACCCAAAAAAATTCAATTGCCTTTTGAAAAGCACCTTTGGGATGCGTTTCATTTTTATTTGTTTGGGAGATCAGCGGGTGATCTGAGCACACACTAGAAGGTTCAAAGGAATTTCCTGGATTCCTTCCATCTCAAGCTTCGCTCACCCATGCCACCCTTTCTTTGGGCCCCATGAAGGAAAAAAATCACATCGCTGAAAATCAGGGACGAGATAGAGAGAATCTCCATAATCACTTAAGCTGTGAGTTGCTCAGCCAGGAAGATGTAGTGGTCAAGTCAAGGAGATCCAAATTTCAAATCCACCCTCAGCCATGGAAACTCAGTGGGTGATTTAAGGCTAGTTACTCCCAGCCTACCTCAGAGGGTTGGACCCCATCAGTAAAGAATGTCAACTGGTGGGTCTAGGAAGAGAGCTTTCTCTACTGTTGCACCATCCTGTGGAACATCCTGCACCCTGAGGTAAGGCAGCCTCCCCATTCTTCTGGCTCTTAGAAAAGCCTAGAGACCTACTTTACCAGCTGGCATGAGGATCTATGAGTTGTAGGCAAACCTAGGATGGGTGGTGGCATGAGGGCACTCCCTCTGCCTTTTTAAACTTTGCTTTCAATTCTGTTTCTAATAATATCTTTGTATGGCTTTTATTTCTAAATCAGCCACTCAGAAAGTGAAATGGGTAGTGTATATATTTGATAAATAAATCAATAATATGGGAGGAGGGAGTCATTACATATCATCTTTAGCTCTTCAACAAAAATGGGATATCAAATAAATACATCCACTATTTAGATCTATAGTAATGGCCTATGAATTTGGGGCAATAAAAGAGTACAAAAACAAAAATGATACACTTTCCTGTTCTGTGCAGAATTGCTGGATGTAGTTCCATCATTTGGAGCTATTGTTGTTTTGTTTTGATGCTTTGTTTAGATTGTGCAATGCTGTTTAATAGAGGAAGAAGAGAAAGCGGGTACTACAGAATTAAACCACGACAGGACAGAGAACCTTTTCTTGTGTACTGTGATATGTCAGATGGAGGAGGGTGGACGGTAATTCAACGGCGGTGCAATGGCAAAGAAAATTTCTACCGGTAGGTTTCTGAGTATAGTTAATAGCTCACCTGAAAAGAGTCTACGGTTTCTTTATGCATCATCGCAAATTAAGAAATGCCCCCCAAAAGACAAAGATGTTCATAAAATTTGCAGACATTATTTGCTATGAGTATCACACACACACACACACACATCCCTCCCACCTTCCTCTATTCAAGCTTCCATAGGAGCATGCAACTGTGGTTAGGGCTTTTTAGCTATGTATCTGGTTACAAAAATGGCATTTTTTACTTTCACAATATACAAGAAGGCTTTAAATAGAGAATGCAGCTATGCAACCAGAAAGATTGTTTTTCTCAGATAAACTGCTTAGATTTCCACCCCCCCAACAAGGCACAAACATTGTAGAGTAGAAATATGGAAGGAGAGGCCCTAGAAATGGATTTTATTTCCCTGAATATGAAGCACAGAAAGAATAATGTTGTTGTTCCTGTATCTGCAGTCATTCAGGAGGCAGCACAATGGACAACATTTTTGGTGGTCTTATTTTCCAGCTGTGAACACCGATTGACTCATAGCGTTCTCTCTACGTTATCTCAGCACTCAACGATCAAGGAAATGATTATTAAAATGAGATCCAAACTTTTTTGTGGGGGGACTGGAAAATAGAAATGGTGGTGATGTGGAAGTATCCTCAGTCATCTTAGTTTCTGCCAGTCTTCAAGCATGAAGCATTGCTTTGAGGAGTGCTGATAAGCTGCCCTTCCTCACTATACTGAAAAGCTCCCATGAAAAAAAGAGACAGAGCAATGCAAAGATAGGAAAGCAGCTCACTCCATAATTTCTATAGGGCTGTAACAGCACAAACAATGTCTAATTTTACTATGGTTTCAAGTATATTCAAGCTGGACCAAAAATAATTTGACTTGGCTACTGAGCACAGCCAACAGTGCAAAGCCAGGCAGGTCCAGAGCTAGTCTCAGCTGATGCAAATATAAAAAGAAAGGAAAACTTGAAGCAGATGAGAATGACCTTTGTTTCACCTCCTTATTTACTGAGAACATGGATATTTCTCGAGCTTCTATGTCTGACTATCTCTTGCCATACAAAAAGGGGAAAATATAGTAATCTACTTGTATTTGAGAGCCAGTTTGGTCTAGTGCAGGGGTAGGCAACCTTGGCTCTTTTATGACTCATGGACTTTAACTCCCAGAATTCCTGAGCCAGCATGGCTCAACTTGGAAACCTCTCTCTTTCTCCTCAGCATGACTGGCTCAGGAATTCTGGGAGTTGAAGTCCACGAGTCATAAAAGAGCCAAGGTTGCCTACCCCTGGCCTAGTGGTTAAGGCACCAGGCTAGAAAGTGGGGGACCGTGAGTTCTAGTTCCACTTTAGCCATGAAAGACAGCTGGGTGACTTTCGGCCAGTCACTTGCTCTCAGCCCAACTCACCTCACAGGATTGTTGTGGTGAAAGAGGCAGAGGAAGGTGTGTTGGTTATGTTCACCATCTTGAGTTATTTGTAAAAATAATAAAGGTGAGATATTAATTAATTAATTAATGGGTTAATTAATCAAACAAAAAAATAGCACAATCCAATTGGAGGCTTACAGGCAATTGGTTGGTAATCAGAGCAAATGGCCTGAAGACATACGATAACTGCCATTTTTTACAGCAAGTCATAGGTAATATTCCTTAAAAATCTCATTTACGCCGTCTTGAATTCTATGATGAAAGATGTGATATAAAGGTAATGATCATTAAAATGTTGTAATTTCATATTACTTAGCACTAAATTGTCTACTGAGGTTAATATGTGTACACCTCTTTGCTGCAGAGAATGGCTTGATTACAAAGAAGGATTTGGACAATTACAGGGCAAGGATGATGAATATTGGCTTGGTAATGATAAGATTTATGATCTTCTTTTTAATGGTAAGGATACCTACCAATAAATTTAAACACAGATAAAGTAATGCTTTGTATCAGCCCATTAGTAAATGCAGGCCTTTAGATCTTCTTCATTTTTCTTATGATAAATTCTGGAAGAGTCTATTAAGGATAAACTATGTGTAGTGGTAGGAATATGTCTGACCTCACAGTTTCTTCTTACCTCCTCACAAAATGGCAAGGAGCATAATATTGGTAAACATCAAGGACAGGCAATGTAAGAATCTAGATATATTTAGGTGTTGGGGTGTTGGGAAGAAGAAAATAGTATATTACCAAGATTTGACTTGGTATTGGGTATACATGGGGTCAGTGTTGGGGTGTTTATTACCTGAACTCAAAGCCTTTTTCAACATCCAGTGGAGACTTCCAGGGGTCAGATTGCCCATGCTTGTTCTTTGTGACTCAAGATAATCTTATTTATGATTAAAGTTGTCAGAGCAGGACTAGTTCTGTTAGAAGACTATTAATATCTCCTTAGGGGTGCAATTTATTCTTCCCTGCCTAAAAAAACACCAGTGGGATGCAGCAGTTAAAAAGGCCAATGGGATCTCAGATCACATTAACATGTGAAAGCTACTAGGATGTCAGTGGGTCTAGAAACCAAGCATTATAAGGAATAGTTAAATGTTTAGGTTTTTTTTAAAGGCATGTTCACTTTGCAAAATAGAAAATTATGGATGGATATAAGAGCAGTGTATACTACAAACATTTAAAATAATGTTATACTGTATGTAAGGTAGGATACACCTGTTCTGTGTTGAAACCAAAGACAGACCAAGACTAATAAATTCCAATGAAATCAAGTGGAATATTAGAAACAATTTCCTAATGGCAACAACTGTTGAGCATCTACAGTTCATTTAGACCTGTTGTGGGTGTCCACTTGCCCTTTGTTGGGCATTTTTCTTTTGGCACCTAGATGGCCAACTGTTGGGATTGATTGAATTCCTGCCTTAAGCAGCAGGTTGGACTAGATTCTCTTTAAGATTCCTTCCAGTTCATATAATCTAGGATTATCAACATGTAGACTTGCAGTTCCATCCACATCTGAATAATACTGTTTATCTGGAGCCATTTTCATTGGGTTTGGAAGTTTCTTTCATGTTAAGCTTGATTCCTAGGGACATCATTGAACATGCATGTGGTCTTCTTAGCAACAAGATGCAAACAGCTAGACATTGCTTCTTCCATGATGTTTTCTCAAGCTCCCATCCTAGTCTAAAACTTTGGGTTGTCCTGGCAGTCTGTTATCGGAGTATAATCAAGTTGGACTCTGCTTCTTTTTGTGGTTAATCAAGATAGATACTGCTTCCAAAGTTTCCTAGGCCCAATGTTATGGTGGTCATACTAATTTTTGATCCTCTACATAATGTAGAGCCTAATCTTCTTAGGGATTATCAGCCCTTCTCTGAAGATACTCAGGAGCAGCCCTTTTGAATTTTCTCCATTCTCAGAGGCATATCCTTCTGGGAGGCCCTTCTCCTGCATGATTTTCCAGCTATTGTTTCAGGAGTTGCATCTAGTCTTCAGTCTCTCTGCATTTACAAAACCTCTAAAATGCAATCATTTTGCTAATTTTTTTTCATTACTAAATGATATCAGTATTAATTTTAATATTAATTGTAATTTCTATTTTTAACTTTCATAGTATGTTTCTTTTCTAAATTTTGTCCAGTGCCCAAGTATTCATCAGAGTGAAAGGTAGAATAAAAATTAAAATGTTTATGCAGAACAACTAAAGAGAGTGGATAACCCTTTATCCTTGTGCTGCTTTTCAGTTCTTGATGTAGTATTTGCTTTTCTTTCTGCATGTAACATCATTACAAAAATATTGGAACAACAACAATTGCCTTGCTGGCCATATAGGGGGCCAGGACAGTGATCCCAACAGGATTTTTTTCCACTAAAAATTGACAACCAATCACTATTTGTACAGTTTTCTATCAAGTTCAGGAGGGAAAAGATAGAACAAAGCCTTTAATCATGCTTTGCACACCTTAAGTATTTATCATCATCAACTCAATAAAAAAATTAATCTTGTCAGTTTACATGACACCTTAATATCATTCCTGCCCTGTAGTTCTAACCCACCAAAAATAATATTTTAAAAATGTGGTCCCTCAAGTAAAAGATTTTTTACTCCTGCAACAATTGCAGTGAAGGGTTCACTGTGCCCCTTATTAACCAAAGGTGTTTTTTTTAAAATATTTTAGGAGAAGTTTCACTGAAAATTGATCTAATGGACTGGCATGGAGAGAGACGATATGCAATTTATGATGATTTCCAGATCAGGAATGAGACAGTGAGTAGCCTGACCTATGAGAATGAATAATTGGTCCTAATGACCTGTCATATGAGATGCTGGCAGACAATATAACACTATCTCATCAGTATCCTCATGAGCTAATATAGCAAATGAAATATATAACCAAAAACCTATATTTAGGGCCTCCTGAACAAAAAACTGAAGCGATCTCCAGTCCATTTGAGCTGAAAATCAGAAAGAAAATGTCTTATTGCTAAACCAAAGAGCTTCTAGAATATAAGTCTAGAAAATTGTAACTATTATTTTAAAGAACCCACTAGGATCACCGGAAGAGGTGAAATATAGTTGACTATGAATTATAATTTGGCAACTCTTGTGGGACCAGAATATTTTTCTAATCTCTCTGGGATTGGAATTTCAGTAATATGAAAGATCATAGTCTATCTAAATTAAGATTAGGACTAAAGTGGTTGTGCTACTGCCTAATGATCTAATATCCCACAATCCCAGTGAATCAGTAAAGAAGGCAGGGAGGTTATGACCTTTGTGTTGCATTCTGCCTCATCAGGGGAGGCGGCTCCCCTTCTCTCCAGAATTACCACTTCCCATCACTTCTCCCACTCAAATGCAGAAATGTCAGATAAGGGGTTGGCATCTAGAAAGCTGTTTCCAAAGGCTAAGAAACTCAGAAGAACATTGGTGGCACTTGGGAGAGGTGGTCAAAGGTTAGGCAGGGAATGTCTGCATGCTGTTTTCATCTGTGGGCCATTAAACCCTGTTCGTAGGGCCTCAGTGTTTAATCAGTACCATTGTTGGGTGGGGATTATGGAATGCTCCGATTTCTGCCTAATCCATGAAAACCTTGAACCGGGGGCCAATCAAGACCAAGAAAAGCTGGCTTCCATGTAATTAAGCTCTGAGGTTTTATAATATTCTGTGGTGGTAGCAGTCTCTGACATATGACTCGCTCCTTAATCTTGAATCTTAGTAACATGAGGTGCTGTGGCTTTCCTTCAGAACAATTACATACTATGGTTTGGCATTTATTCCGGGACTGCTGGGAATGCTTTGTCTGGGGGGAGCAACTTTGAGAGCCAATGGTCTGCATCACTCAACGGCATGCCCTTCTCTGCTCCCGATCGGGACCATGACAGGTTCCTAGCAGGCAACTGTGCAGAAGAGAACAAATGCGGCTGGTGGTTTAACAGGTGAGTTCATTGGCAGCAACCCTACTGAAGTCACTTGAAGAGTAGACAATTGAGACAGGTCTCCCTCCTGGATGTCTGAATCTGTGGAGGCTGTTTGTTATTGTGTGTGTCACAGTCAGATGTACCTATTGCCAGTTCTAGAGAAAGATAAATGGGATGCAGAGATAAGCAAGGAAGTCCAGCATTCCTACTTCTCCACAGCTAGGAAGCTCGCTGTGTTATCTGAGATCACGCACTTTCAGTTAGCCTAATTTATCCCTCAAGATTCGGGACAGGATGAAAAGAGAGGCACCTTCAGTTTCCCTAAAGAGAAGGTGGACTATGAAAAGAAATGGACACAAATTAGTTTGCAGGCACCAGCATTACCTCCATATTTTCAGGAAGGGAGCGCAAGAACCTCCATTCCTTTCCATTGGTGATATACTCAAATGCAAGCAGGTTTAGAAATTACACATGACAAAAGGTGAACAAGGAGAATTGCAACAAACAGAACAAAAGTACATTGCGTCTCTTCATGGGCCAAATTAGATAGTGCTTTTGCCAAATATGACCTAAACTTTGATCGGTTTTCCACATGTCCTAATACTAGATAAAGAGAACCCAATTAAAAGCTTTATACTTGTTCATTGATTTGTTGAGAAACGTGATCCAAGGCTATGCATTTCTGCATGGCAAAAGTACTGGTGGACTTCAACTCCCAAAATTCCTCAGCCAGCTTTGCTGGCTGAGGAATTCTGGGAGTTGAAGTCCACAAGTCTTAAAGTTCCCATGGTTGAGAACCCCTGACATAGACTAACAGAGTTGGAAGAGACCTTGGAGGTCTTCCAGTCTGACCCCCTGCTCAAGCAGGAGACACTACACCCTTTCAAACTTTATGAAAGCCTTCAGTGATGGAGCACCTTTATTTCCTTAGATGTTACCCTTAGGATCTTTGAGACTTTCTGTAGTGTTCTCTTGGTATGATCTTGGTTGGTCAGCCACTCTGGGGAAGGGTAACAGTGGTGTTGAATTGCCTCTATTTCTACACAATCTGCCTGGCAGTTGACCGGTAAGAGTCCAAACTTTTTGGAAATAGTTTTGTAACCTTTTCAAGTTGGGTGAGTATCAACAGCTGTCTTTCAAACATCCTCAGAAAGCTCCTTGTTTGACATCCTTCCACATACCTCCACATATTGTGAAGATCAGACTTTGATAGTGAATGCCCAGAATTCTATTTTTTTAATGAGGCAGGATGTCCAATACAATGTTTTTGACTCATTTAATTTAATTTGGGTTCTTTCTATCTAGTTTCAGTATTGTGAGGAGAACAGATCACATTTTTAGTCATATCTATGCAGAAATGCTAAAAATTCAAAAATGTTTACAACTTTTACGCACCATTGTATAGGTTACTTTTCCAGTCCTGCAATTCTTCATTCTTCTTCTTCCTATGTATCTTCTATTTAAATTAAAGAGTTACCATTTATTGAAGGGCCCTAAAATGGAAATAGCATAAATTCATGAAAATACAGTATCAGGCAACAGGCTAAAGTGTAAAGGCAGCTCTTGTGGTTTTATTATAGAAAATGATCAATTTTATCTAACAGCAGCTAGTTAAACTGTAATTTTTCATATTATAACAAAAAGTGTATGCTACTTTCTTGATCTGGTGCCCTTGTTGGGTTGGAACACAACTCCCAGAATCCCCCGTTCTGTTCCAATGTAACTGGAAGTCACCTGGTTGAAGGAGAGTTCTAACACCAATTGGTCATAATATAATATTGCCAATTAAGATTTGTCATTTTATCTATTACTATGCACTTGGGCCATTGCCTGACCTTTCATTAATATCTTTTTCTGTTTTTTTCCCCCCTCTGACATTTCCACAAGGTGCCATGCAGCAAATCTTAATGGACTATATTACAAGAAGGGGACATACTCCGGTCCCTTTGATAATGGAGTGGTTTGGTCAACGTGGCGAGGCCTGTGGTATTCCCTGAAATACACAGCTATGAAAATCAGGTTCCAGTCCTTTCTGGATGGAGAGAGTGGGAATGGTGAAATCAACTGAGATCTTTTCAGGCACATTTGAGAAAGAGAAGCAGGCATGCCAAAATTATTGTATAGGTGGCCCTTGGCTTGAGACTTAGCACACTGAAAAAATCTTACAGCAAGGAGCATGCCACCGTGAGGAGGAAAATTAGATTTTGCTTTGGATTACCAATCGTTGCATTATTCCTGTATCATTGCACCAGCTAACAATTTAAAAAATGGCTTTTCGTACAAACAGAGCACGCCCCCAAAAACAGACTTGGGGGGGGGGGAAACCTTCTACTTTGTTGAGGGCACAAAGGGCAATCCTGCTTATTATTTACCTTTCCTTTACAAAAAATATTCACTTGTTGAATACAGCATTGCGTATTTTTAAAATTTGTTTTGGGAATTCATTTTGTTCCCCGTCTTCCAAAAATTAGCCACCTTTCAGGGAAATGCAGAAAATGCTATGAGTCGCTGGGAATAAAGGGTTTTATGGCACATAGACAGAGAATGAGATCAATCTGTGTGAATCCCATCAAAGACCTTCTAAGGCAGTGGTTCTCAACCTGTGGGTTGCGACCCCATTTGGGGTTGAATGACCATTTCACGGGGGTCGTCAAACAATGCAGTCCACCATTTTTTTCTCCTTTTCCTTAGCTGTGCTACTCCCTTTTATTCTATTGGCTTTTGAAAGCCAATAGAATAGACTCTCTTGAATAGAGTCTAATTCTATTGGCTTTCAAAAGCCAATAGGAATTGTCCAGGCTGTCTCTGCCCTGCTGAGCCCGCCAAAAGTCCCATTCTGGAAACAATGCTGCACCAGTTGAGTAGTCCTTGACTTACGACCGGTTGAGTAGTCCTAGACTTACGACCGGTTGGGGGTCGCGGCATTAAAAAGGTTGAGAACCCCTGTTCTAAGGAAAGGTTTTCTGGCTGCTGCAACAGGGCTATAAAGAATGCTAGATCGGAAAGGCAGGTTTACTTGGCATCCTCTTGTCCTTTTTAAATTTGTATTTTCAAAACTGATGACTTTCTTAAATTGGAAAAAAAAAGGAAAGAAAAGTGAATCTTGACAGCTGCCTAATTATGTATGAAGATAGATGTGCATTTTTCACAAAAGGTTTTTTTTTAATTATTTTGAATAAGCACCATGTGTTTAAAGCTGTAACTTTTCAATTTATAATGTTTCAAATCTTACGACTCCGTGATGGGCTAAGCATAGCTTTGGGATGGATGTTCTCTCAGTCTTCTGGTAAAATGTGAACAATTATATTAATTCCTAATGTGTGAGAAATTATTAAGGACATTGACATCAGCCACATTTAATGCAATTAAAGCAGCAGCAATTGCAAAAATATGTAATCATAATTATTATATCATTGTCTTTCAAACAGCATAAAAATAAACATTAGCTCATTGTTGATCAATGTCTAGAATTTGTCTGTTACAAAACACTAATAACATTTCTTGTTTCACATTGTATTTTTTTTCACTTGCATTTTCTGAAAGAAACACTTTCTATAACTATATGCCAGTGGGAATAAACCAAAGCCAAACTGCTTCAATAAATTTCAACTGAAATTTATTGCAGTTTGCAAAGGAGGTTGACAAGGATACGTTTCCTTGTAAGGAGGATAATCTTTTTTAAAGTGGATTCTTCTGAAGCAGAATATTGCTTTGCAACTAAACAAGAGACGTAGGAGAGGACATCTAACAGGCTTGGCAACTTTGTAATTGGAGTTGCTGTGATGCAAACAGTGGTTAAAGAAGCATCCAGTGCTCGTCCAATACAAATGAATAGACCGGCTACATTCCAGCTGTGCCTGTAACCACACTAACCTCTTAATTAATACCAAATGCAGACCTCCAAGTCTGATTTTATAGGCCAGTGAATGCCATGGTGTAGAATGTCATAGACATTTTCACAGTCACTTAGCAGCCACTGACAAGGAATTCTGAGGATAGTAAGGGTAACCAATTTACAATGTGTTATATGCTCCAATATCAATGTCCAATACTATAAACTGAATATGTAAGCATACAGGCTAACTTTGGCCTTAAAAGCATCTATTTCTGAGACAGTTTAGAGAGAGATTCTACACAAGTACACATTTAGTCATTATTTTTGTCTTAGGGTATCATTTACTTTTTCCAAGTATTTGGCCTGCTTCAATGGAATGATAATTAGGCCTCCTTCCCTTCTTAAGGAGTTTTCTGTTAAAGTACATTTTGAAAGTTTAAGAGCTTCTGCAGTTGCTAACGCCGCAGCTTCCCATTTGCCTACGAGAAGTTCAGATCACCAAATTTTCAGCAGTTAAAGTACTTGTTTCACCTTCATTTAACTCAAAATATCCAGGCAGGTCAAACATTTGTTGTTCTAAGTCAATCAAACCAAAGGAAGTGTTGTCATAGAAGTGGCATCCAGTATCCGATGGAAAGCTTTGACATTTGCTCTTTCTATACTGTGAGGGACTCAGAGTCTCCAATTTCTGGTGACCATCCTTGAGAGTTAGGAAAGTAGACTCCTTCCTCCAAGCGCCTGCAGGATTTAAAACATGTCCACTTCTGGTTCTCCTATGTTCTGATTTATCAGCACAAGATACAAAAGATCCCAGTGGACGATTGTGAACCAGATCTGGCTTCTTCTCTGGAAGTTTCTGTTTCTGAGGAAGAGGTCCCCCCCAGCTCAATGACTCTGTGGTTAAAGGAACGCTGTGATACAATTCAAGTTCCATAGTGTTCTGTGCTGTATTTTTAGATTTAACACAATGTTGTTTTTCCATAACATGATTCCAGAGTTTGGCCCTGCAGTGGTTGAATGAAGTCTGACTTTGTGTAAGGGTAGACATGCTTCTTTTCCGAAATGGTTTTGCTCTTCTAGTTTCGTGGAAACTTGCTGTTCTTCTGAACTGTGAACTTTTTGGGTATCCTCTTTCTGTTGACTCTCCTTTGTTATCACAATATCTGGGATGGTTTCTTCCCACTAAGGAATGATTGGGGCTCAACACAGAATTGGCCTGCAATAATGTGCAATCCATCCTAGAACAGGGTCTGTCCCCTGATAACCTTAGATAATCAGGTGGCTGTTCTGGAAATGGAGATTTTATTCTAAACTTACTTGCAGCAGCTACCTCTTGGTTTTCTGTTTTCACCGTGTCCATGAGAGGGTTCTGAGCCACATGATAAACTTTGGTTGTTTCTGTAAGTCCCTTTTTCTTCATTTCTTTCAACTGCTGCTGGGCGAGGCGATAGCTATAAATGGGAGGGATGATTTTATGGGCACTGGACTGCAAACTCTCATGAACTAATCCTCCTCCATCTTCGGGGACCAAATGAAGGCTTCTCCTGAAATTCAAGGTTATGTCAGAAGCTTCTCCTGGGGAAAAACAAGAGGCTTCTCCCTCAGAAAAGCTTTCTTGTTGAGGTCTGTCTGGGCAAATATCCTCTTCGTCGGAATTTTTTCGGAAGCCAGGTGAATGAGTGGAGTCACAGTTAACTGGACTGCTGCACTTCTGGGTTCTGCAAAGCTTCCTCCATAAGGTGACAAGGATGGTTGCAAAGATTATAGATAAGCATAACGATATCCCAGTGATAGTTATTAAATTATTGGCAGCTCTTTCAGGAGATAATGGTTTGAGGAGGCCAGTTGTAGTGACTGAAACACAGAGCAAAGACATCAGAAAACACAATTTATAACTGCCAATCAACCCAACAAATTAAAAAGCTTACCGATTTTCACTCTATGGCCTTAAAGCATTTTTTAACTATTTCAGCATTGGCTTTCTGATATCACTGTATGCCAGAACTTCACAAGTTGAAATGCAATCGTTTTAAGACTAATTTCCGATGCTTGGATATATGTAGCTTTGTAATCACTGTTTTTTATTCAGATGTGGTGTTGGAGCTGGTCCAAAATAACTTTGGAACCATTTTTCTCTCTGTCATAACTAAAATTTATTGCACTATTAAAACATAGTACAAATGTGTGCTATTTGTGCAATAGTGACAGCTTCATTTGAACAACTTGATGGCTATTCTGGCTAGTCAGGAAACAAGGCATTTATAGTAAAAATCTACTTTGCTGGGACATTTTGGAGGTGCTCTTCGTGTTCATGATTTTGTGAAACATTTTTGAGTTATGTAAATTAAGACGGTGTAAAAGAAATAAGCTTGCCATCTCAACCAAGTCAGGTATTTGGGCCCACAGAAAGCTCTGTTGACCAGGAAGCAGACAACACCAAACAGAAATATTCTCTCTAAAGTAGGACGTGCAGTCAACCTAGTTAAATAAAGCACAGCAAGCTCTGTACCAACCTAAATCTTTTAGTTTGACATGTTGTGGACAGCAATTCCAAATAGGGCTTATCCTGAGTTTCTTAGGAACTTTGTAATCCTGGAGGCAAGGTTAAAAACTGTTAAATACAATGAGAGTCTCAGTATTTGCATAGCTGGCAGTCAAGAATAATTATATGACATCAATTGGTTAATAAGTCTACCTGCTGTATGGATATGTATCTCAATATGTAAACAATATATGGCAGCCTTTCCCAACCCAATGCTCTCTAGATGTATGGGCTTGCAACTTGTAAAATTTCCAGTGCGTGTCTACAATACCACATTTTCACTGGACTCTAGGAGGCTTTAAATGGCAGTACCTTGGGAAATGTTGATTACACAAATACATTCATATGTGCCAATCAGACACAACTCTATACTTGGGTTTCCTTCCTTCCATCCTGCCTGCCCTAGACTTCCATGCTGACTATTGTCCCCAGACAATAGATTGGGCAGAGAGATCTCTTGAATACATACAAAAATAATGTGAAGTTGTATAGACTATAGTGTTTTTGAAACATCAAGCTTACATACTGGGGCATTCCTCCAAAGAACATGGAGAAGTTTCTTGTTGCCTTCCCGAGCAACCGTGCATCATGTGGACGGTGGAAGACATGAGGCATTCCCGATAACGCTCACGAATGCCACCTCCACAAGTGGCACTACACGAACTCCAGGCTTGCCAGGTGCTCCAGGATCCTCCTAGGAATACATAAATTACATTACTACAGAGAGCCATTCTCTTAAAAGCTATCAACCATCCTGCAGAAAAAAAACAAGAATAATTTATTAAGTTCTAGAAAGTAGATGGAATCAAATTCCTTTTGGAAACTGAATTATCCCCAAACAAAATATAGGTATGACTTACAACCATGATTGAACCCAACATTTATGCTGCTAAGCAAGACATTTGTTAAGTGAGTTTTGCCCCATTTTTACTACCTTTATTGCTTAGCTGTTAATTGAATCACATTAGTTGCTAAGTTAGTAACACAGTTGTTAAGTGAATCTGACTTCCCCTTTGACTTTGCTTATCAAAAGGTTGTAAAAGATCACGTGACCCTGGGACACTGCAAGCGTTATAAATATGAATCAGTTGCCAAGCATCCACATTTTTAATCATCTGATCACGGGGATGCTGCAATGGTTGGAAGTGTGGAAAACTGTCATAAGTTACTTTTTTCAGTGCCATTGTAACTTTGAACAGTCACTAAATGAGCTGTTGTAAGTCGAGGACTACCTACAGACTATTAGTGACTTCTGTTCGTTATGGAGTAGACAAAAGATCTGATAAATTCACCAGAGTGCAGATGGTAGCAGAAGACCTGGGACTCGTGAATGCTATACAGCTGAAGCTGATGACTCTTCAAGAAAAGTGCATTTTTGTGGTGAACTTGCTTTTCCACTGACCAGAAACTAACTCAAGGCTGAATAGCAGGAAACAGTATCTATAGACATATGCCTACATGTATCACACTCTTTTCTTTTAGGGGTAAAAAACTTTATGCAAAATGAAGGAAGAAAATGAGTAATAATAAGTCAAACCAATGGAAGGCATAAGATAAAAAAATATATATACAGTAAATTGAGCTTCTACCCTCTTCCACATTCCATATTTCTTTATCCTTGCAACCCATCCTTGCTTCTATCTTATCTGTAAAATGACTTTTATTTCTTAAGCAGCACTTCTGCCTCACCAGTTATGCTAGAGAGATTAAAAGTGTTACTAACTGGGTATTAGTAGATACATTTTATATAAATATAAAAAGAGAAAGCCAAAAACATTCTTAGCTGCAACATAGTATGGTCTAATTCTATGGTCTATAGAATGTTCTCATCTTCTTGTTGTTCTGTTTCTCGATGGCTTTCAACATTCTGCACAGATAAAACCAACATATGGAATGTCTGATCTGAGGAGGGGGGGGGGGAAGTCTCCACTTTGTAGTGATAAACACTACAATTTATTTTCTTCAGACTGACACCTACTTCCTAATATGTGACATGTCATGTATATTGAAGTATTAAATGATTGTCACTGAGTGACAATGATGGAGGAGTCACGTGGTGATGGAGCAAACCTTTTCTATCCAGATGCTTCTAGATTCAGCCCCTCAGCACCTCCAGTTAAAGAAGGTACATATAATAAGTGGCAGGAGAGATTCAAGGCTAGAGAAATGTTGCCCATCAAAGTAGGCAATCCTAAGCAGCTGGTCCGATAAATAATTTGATGTTGTATAAATGTCCAAATTTCACATTGTGAGTGCTTAATGTAGACAAACATCATATGAAAAATTGTGCTGCTCAAAAGTTTGTTCAAACATTGTACTTCCCAATTATAACAATTGCCTGTTAATATGCTAGTTCTGGCCTATATCTCCAGATGACTCCTCTACAAATAGGGAAAAAAATAACCTAGTGAAAAGAACAGACCTGCTTTGATTCAGATCCAATTATATGTAAGTCATTTAGATTGTATCAAAATCTAAATACCACTGGGCTACAAGTTTCTTACCTTTCCACTAAAATATCTGCAGAGACAATTCAAAGAATGAAAATTAACAATGAGCCCTATCTTCTGGGGCTGCTGGGAACAATTGGAATGCTTTAGTCAACTTTCAGAAACATGAATTTGTCCGTTGCATTAAAGTTCTCCAGATTAAAAGTTCCCAGGTTAGTCACACTTGTTTACTATACCAGAAGAACCTGGTCAGCAAATACCTCTATATCAAGAGTCAAGAATGCTGTTGAAGGTCACTTTCATCTCTATTGAGTCAGGACTGTGTTCCCTTGGACCATTTCCTTTCTCCTTCTTTCCTTCCTGGTCAATGAGTTGCTAGGATGGGAGAAATCATTCTTGCGAGTGATGTGAAGCAGTTGGTTGGGAAGGTTTTTAATAACTTCAAAATAGGGATAACTGCACCAATATATGGATCATGATGTCTCATGACAGTTACCTTGTTTATGGCATGATTTTTCCCACTTGTCCACTATCTTAATTCTCATTTCCCTATACAATAAGTAAGAGCAGAGCTTGGATAGATAATGGAGTCAGAGGGAAAATGCAGCTCTACTGGAATTACCAGAGGGTTTATGCTGGCAGTCTTGGTTCTAAGCCTTTAGTAACACTTTCAAACTGAGAAATTAAAGAGGTGATTCATTTCCTGGCATAGAAGTCATGTTTAATTTTTGGATGTTGGGCTGCTGAGAAGAAAAGAAGCAAAACTAGTAAGAAAAAAAAAAAGCCTGCCAATTAGAGACCACAACTTCTTCATAATTGTAGAACATTTAGTGAATAAGACAATTTACCCCAGAGATGACCACTGTATGATTGTCAATGGCTTACCCTTGAAGTCTTCTGTCACAGAGAAAGTAGAAGGCCAAGTCACAAGCAGCTACCTATTCAATTGCCAGAATTATTTCTTGAGCAAGCATCACGCAACAGCCATGGTGAGACTGCCTTGTGCCCTCACCTCCTGAAAAGGTATTTCTCATAATGCCAGGCAACAGCCCGCTCTCCCAGTTGGAACTCATTCGTATATAGCTTGAAGAGTCAGTCCAAATTAGCCCAAACACACAAGTTGTATTGGTGGGCAATGGAAACTGAAACTTATGGTCCTATGTAGGAGTGTGGGTGCAGGATCCTAGCACAGAACGCCATATCCTTATATCACCCTGTGATAATCTGGCATTTTACAGATATGTTGGTCTGTGAATCTTGGCAGTTGTAATCTCAACACATTTGCAAGACACCATGTGTGATCTATTATCTACACAATAATCTTACTAAGGATCATCTATGTATTATGGGAAGAGATTCAAAACGGCTCTTAGTTCATTTCTTTCTAAGACCATGTGAGGCTACATTTTTAAAAAAAGACACGTGTTGCATGTCACACAGCAATCAGGATCATCAAATTTCTTTGGACATTTGCTATAATTAATTGAGAAAGAGAGAAGTATTTTCCCAGTTGGTTCAGCAAACAATTTGTATCTCACCAGAGAAATTTGGCAAGTTCTTGTGACTGGATACTCCTTTCTTTTTCTGGCTAATGTTTTCACTGTAAAGTCTTGTGGAAAATCAAAGCAGCTTACCCTGCCTTGCCCAAAGCAACCTGGAAAATTTTGTGACTAATCTGGATCTGAAGCTAGTGCTCACACATTAAAATTCTGCATCTCTGCATTATTTAAATTTACTTGATTTGCCTCCTCCTCCTCATCATCATATAGTATGTGTCTCCTAGAATGGGGAATATTTTTTAAAAAAAATATTTAGATAAAACAAGAGAAGATATATGACTTGGAATGAGGCAGGGGATACAGATTAGATGGTTATGAGATCTGGGCTGCAACAATCTGGAGAATTATTAGATGGCAAGGGAAAAAAAGCACAGATAGCCCTCGACTTACAACCATTCATTTAGTGACTGTTCAAAGTTACAACAGCACTGAAAAAATGACTTATGACCGTTTTTTCACATTTACGACCATTGCAGCATCCCCGTGGTCACGTGATCAAAATTCAGATGCTTGGCAACTGACATGTATTTATGACAACTGCAGGGATGCAGAGTCATGTGATCACCTTTTGGGACCTTCTGACAAGCAACGTCAACGGGGAAGCCAGATTCAATTAACAACCATGTTACTAACTTAACAATTGCAGTGATTCACTTAACAACTGTGGCAAGAAAGGTCATACAATGGGGCTAAACTCGTTTAACAAATGTTTTACTTAGCAACAGAAATTTTGGGCTCAGTTGTGATCATAAGTTGAGGACTACCTGTATTTTTCTTTGCAGCCATTCTTGTGGTGTTGTGGATTTTTGCAGCTTATGTCTGGTACCTGTACTTTAGAAGCCATGGGAGGGGGGGGAAGTACTAGAAAATGTCTTTCTTTTTAAATAAGAAAGGCAAGACTTTAATGGCATAGTCCATCCTCGTCTACAGAACTGCATACATAGGAGAGATGGTATATAGAATACACAATTTATCTAGATGTTTTAAAAATTCATAAGTTGCTCGTTCCTTTAATAGTTATAGGAACATAGAATACAATCCTTTCCCCTTATCGTTCATCTATCTATCTTTGTCAATGCAAAGTTTTACCATATTTAGCAGGAATCCTATCCTGTGTGTGTAGTTCAACCCCAATGCAGGCTTATTTGTAAAAAGATGATGGATTATGCTTTTGTATTATACTCTAGTTTCCAGAAGGAATATGCATCCAAGAAGACACTGAAATCCTCCTGTTTAAAATAAGACATTTTGGAAAAGTAATACAAACCAACATTCCTCTGGATTCGTACACATTCTTTTGCCCATGGTGTGGAATTCACTTGGTTGGAAGAGCTAAATTCAAAACAGTATTTGTTTGTGCCACTGTCAAACAATGTGCAACTGAGTTCTATCTGATGGTCCTCTGGATTCAAGATGCTTTCATATAGCTTTGACACCATTTGATCCAAAGGGTTATATTTAAATACAGCAATGCGTCCAGCAGAAGATGTGCACGGAGGAAAAACAACAGAAGCCACAACCAAAGACTCACAAAACACTTCTTCTGATATAACAAGCTTGTATCCAAATTTGCCCGCAAGATCTATAGGTCCTGATGAAGCAATGATTGAGCCTGTCTCTGCTGATTTCAGTAATGTAGTCATGTAGGCTTTTGGGCTAATCACATGGCAGTCCAATTTCACTGATTGCAACTCATAGAGAGAAAGGCTTTTCCTTGTTCTTAGGCCCAGTGTCTCATTTGAGATCAATGTCCCTAGTTCGTATAGGTCACTGGTTAGAATTACATCCAGAGAAATCACTGTTGCATTTATGGGACATAAATCTTCATTAGTAAACAGTCCAAGTTGAAAGGAATTCCCATGACCATCTGGAATCCTCCTCAAATCAAAGTTAAATATAGGCCATTTCACCTTGAGTAAAAGACTTTCTCTATTCTCTTGGGAATTAAGTCCTCTGATGTTTTCAGAATCCAGCTTGAACCAGTAACTCCCAGCGTTTGTAAAATGAGAACACTCAAAACCAACCACACCTTGATGCTGGTCTTCTGGAAGCTGTTTTTTGGCAACAATTTGGTTGGTGCTGGCTTCCATGAGTAGAACAGAAATGTTTTTCAGTGTGTCATTAGCATTATAATTCTGAAAACTAACAGATACTGTAACATTGCTTAAAGCTATATGAGTCTGTTGCTCCAACAGAAGTTTGATTGCTCCGAGAACTGGAAAATAAAAGGAATTTGATAGTATAATTAATGAGAAGAGCATGAAGAAGTAGAGCTTACACGATTTTTGGGAAATTTAATATAACCAAGTATAGCAGTCCACCTAAGGCACGGGTGTCAAACTCAATTGCGTCATGTGACGTATCGTGATGTATCATGACATTTTTTGCCACTGCAGAGCTGGGGTGGGTGTGGCCTGCCCATGATGCATCTGGCCTGCATCAAAGTTTGGCACCTCTGACCTAAGGCATGACAATTCTCAATATCTCTGAAAACTATACTCTGTGGGAAGGAATGCTAGAATTATGGCTCTAAAGCAGTGATGGTGAACCTTTTAGACACCGAGTGCCCCAAAACCAGCCCTGCCCCCACCTCACCCGCTCCACCCTCCTGTCCCGCCCCCACCCTGCCTGCCTGCCCGCAAGGCCACTCACTGCCGCCCAGGCAGCCCAGCAGCGCCATGGAGGCCATGCCCTCCACCCATGCCCCACAGCATCAACTGTGCATGATAGGGCGCGAGGGCAGAGTCCTGTCCCCACTTCCCGGCTGCCATGTCCTTGGCTGCGCTCCTCCACATGGGCCACACTTGGGGATGACTCTCCTCTGAGGGGGCTGCTGGTAAGGAGGGGGCCGCAGGATGAGGCAGGGCTGGGCAACGGCATGTGTGCCCAAAGAGAGGGCTCTGAGTGCTGCGTGCCATAGGTTCGCCACCACTGCTCTAAAGGTTGCTGCTATCTACCTTAATCTACATAACATGTAGTTCACAGCCTATTAGCTGCTTAATTTACAATCCCAATTTAATTTAAATTTAATTGGGATTGGACTAGAAGACTTCCAAGATCCCTTCCAACGCTGTCATTCTAGTATAACCCCAATTTAATGTAATTTAATACCAATGTTCATATGCAGAACAGATGAAAGATTCAAACAGCCCAATTTTGTTTTTCAGAATAGTAATTCTGTCCAAAGTATATGCATATGTACAATTGCTGAATTATACAACAATTCAACTGCAGTAATGAACTGGCACTTATAATGTGCTAGGTCCATTAATTCTCTCATTCTCAGCTGTTTTTAACAAAATTAAGTACCTCTCTTAACCACAAGCAAGAAACCCCCACTGTCTCCACTCCTCCCTCCTAAATCTTCTCTCCCTTACCATTCTTACAAACAAATAATTTTAAAGCCGCTACATTATACAATGTAAAAGAGAGCAACTACATTGGCCAAACCTGCCTCCACTACTTTTGATTCTTTGTCCCGTACTGGGTTTCAATTTTTTTTTAGGAAGAACATCTGTTTTTCTAGAAAGTTAAACATTTAAAAACATTCACTAGCTAACATAAAAGCTAGTAGCTAAACCTTTAAATAGTTTCCTTGATATTTCTCAAAGAAATCATTTAAAACTATTTTATATACCAAGGTAAGAGACTTTATCTTCTGCTTGCTTCAATTCAATGGTGGCCGATGTTGTTGCTGTTAAGTCTAAGACAGTGTTTCTCAACCTTGACAATTTTAAGGCATGTGGACTTCAACTCCCAGAATTCCACAGCCAGCAATGCTGGCTGTGGAATTCTGGGAGTTGAAGTCCACATGCCTTAAAATTGTCAAGGTTGAGAAACACTGGTCTAAGATTTATTAAGAAATGTGATTTTGGATCCATGACACTGTCTGCTTCCTCACCATCTAAAACCACCATTGAGGGAGGGTCCTTTTCAAAGAAAGTCCACCCTTCATATATGGAGGGCAGAGAAAACAGGGAGGGCAACAGGCTAGTGTGCTTGCCCCAGTTTTCCTCCAGGGGTGTAGAATTTATAGGAGAAAACCATAACTCAAGTTTCCTCAAGTCACCTACTGAACCTCTTTCAATTTGGTGCTTTTTATTAGACATCAAGGGATGATGGGATTTGCCACTTCCTCCATCTGGATATCACATTTCAAAATGACAAGAGTGACGTAGCTAATTGTACCATATTTACTCACCATAGTCACAGAGCACAACTAGAAGTAGGTTTGGAAAAATGTTCAACCTCTGTTTCATCCTGATCTGGTGATCTCCCAACTCCTTTTATTCTTCATGTCCTATTCCAGCCCCAAATAAACTTCAGTTCTTACACATTTCTCTGAAATCAAAAGCCATGGAAATACAAAATCAGAACGGGATGCCTATTAGGTCTGGGAGGACCTGCAGTTCTAATTCTTAGACTTTCCAAGGTATCACTTTCCCTTGAAGTTCTATTTTCAATCTAATGTCCATCATCTTCTTCCAGCATAGTCTGTGGTCTCAGTGACTGGAGGATCAGGCTCCACCATATAGCTGTCATTGAGACTTTTATGCAAATAAGAAACTAATAACTACAAAGACCTCTGGGAACCAGACATTTGAAACTGGTGCTTCTCAGTACTTAAGTTGTGCAAAAGCTAACTAAATGAATTCAGAAGCTCAGCAAGAATACACCTCAATACGTAGGCTGGGCTAGCCTGGACTAGATATAGATTGTGTTGCCATAGCATGGCAAAAGCATCCAAAAACGTACCTTGGCACCATAAGCAATTCAAAATGTTCTTACACTGCAATGCCATTGTTTTAGAATAGAAATACACCTGCAAAAAAGTGGTTTCTGAATCCCATGAGAAGTCCCAGTGTCCATGAACAATCCATGCCTCTAGCAGACTAGACCCTATCAGTGTATTTAACCAAAGGTTCTGGGTCACAGAAAAATTGTTAGATATATGCATGCACAATATAATTCCATTTCAGGACACAAAGCTGAGCTAGACCCTTTAACACACTTTCAGTACTGACAATAACATATTACTCTCTGTATTTTTGACAGTCCTTTAAAGTTATTTTAACTCTTTATGATCAATTTATTTTCCCACTGCAGACCTGCTCCACTCTTGATCCTTTTAAATGTTTGCTGCTGTAGCCTAGGGGATCTGAATTTCAATTACATACTTCATTAGTTTGCAGGAAAATTATTGGGTAGCTCAGAAACTCAGCGAAAGAAGAAGAGGAAAAAAAAATGAAAAGGCTAAGAGAAAAATCCAAAAATCATGTTGGGACAAGAAATAAAGAGCTCATGTTCCACTGCACACGACCCGATTTCACTGAACTGATCAACTCCAGAGCAGAAACGGACTAGTGCAATCACAAACCTTTTAAAAACGGTATTCCCAAAGCAACCCAGCTAATAAGAAAAACAACACCGTCCTAGGAATATATCTAGCATTTTCCTTCTTCACCGACCATAACTCAGTGCCTACCTACTGATTCAAAAGCGCGCTGGGCAGCGGCGAGAATTCAGCAACTGCGGGACAAGAAGCGTAACAGGCGGAGCGTGAGGAGGGGACCTTTCCAGTTGGCTCAGTGAAAGAGTTCGTCCTCCGCAGTCCCGGGGCGTCAGGTGAAGAAGTTGAGGAGCAAAAGCCGCGGGGGCGCCAACAGCTGGCCTCGCCGCCGACCTCTCGCTCGTTTCTCCCCGCGTTGGGGGCTCATGTCTGGAGCGGGAGCACGGCGAAGACTTCTCCTCCTGGCTCCCGGAGGAGACGCGCCCGAGCTGGAACGGAGAGAGATGCGCTTCTGGCCTCGGGCGTGGTGCGAGAGAGAGAGAGAGAGACAGAGAGAGAGAAAGAGAGAGAGACGGGAAGCTGACAGGCTGGCTGGCCCGCCCCACTGGAAAGCGCTGGCGCAGCCGCCGAGTCCAGGCGGGTCAGGAAAGAAGCGCGTCCTGCCGCCTCTCACCGCGCCCTTCTGCGTGAGAAGGCCGCCCCCTTCCCCCCCCCACCCGGCTGGGATTTGCGGGACTAGTTGTGAGGCGGAGCAGGACTTTCCGCCGATCAGCGGAACGCGCGCATAGCAGAAGTTTGCCCGTGGTTGTTAAGCACGTCGTCGTGGGAACCGTGAGAATTAGGTTCGTCGCCACGCTCTGGGCGAAATGAGGGAATCTCCGCAGTGCCTGTGCTCGTCTGCTTTCCCTGAAAAATCTCCGCGTGCTGGAGGGCGGGAAAGAGATGCGGTAGGAGGGTCCCGGCGGAATGCTTTGAGACAGGTGGAAGTTTGGCGCGGAGGGCGGAGAAGAGGTTTTGTGTGGGTTTCCCTTCTTCCCCCCCCCCCCATATCTTTTTCAGGGATTTTTGAAGTGGCTGCCTCGATTACCGCTGGAAGGCGCGAGGGACTGACTTGTCTGCGAGGAAGCCTGACAGGCGAAACGTTTTTGCTGGTGAAACTACAGGGTCACTGTCCCGGCTCTGAGTTTTTCCTGTGGGCTAGAAACCGGACACAAATATTTCCTTATCTCTGCACAGAAACACACATCAGTAATCACATTTCACTTGCTAAAGCTAAGCTAAAAGTATCCAGCAAGACTTCTCCATTGGATGTGGGCTTTGATGATTTGTTAATGAATTCTAACTGAAGAACTTTTTAGTTGATCTGAAAATGGGTGAAACATTAAACAACTATTGTAAAGGGCCAAATAATGTCTATAAGAGCCTGTTCAGCTGGGAAAGGTTATAAGCTAGACTAGAGGAGGAAATAGGCCCTGCCATCTGTGGCTAGAGATGCCAGATAGATTGATCATCTTTGTGGGAATGAAGGCAAGCGTTCCCTGTGATAAATGAACAGATCTACTGAAACTTTTTCAAATGGTGAATGAAATAGATGTATATAAAGGAGCTGGAGATACACTCCTTGTTTACAGACCACAACGGGGGCAGACAACTCAGTTATTAAGCAAAGCAGTTACTAGGTGAAACTGCAACTGTGCTTATGCTCTTCCTTCTGCTATCTTTTGTTAAAGTTTACAGATCTGCAAACATCATAAAGTTACTGCTGCTACCAACGTAGATGCTTTCAAGATGGGATCAGTCAAATTAATGTAGGCTGAGACAAACAAGGACTGCTACCTATAATAGCTGTTACATTTTTCTGATGGGCAACACAAACAGGAGGTACTAGTGGTTTCTGTCCTTTGTATAAGCATCTGTTTTGTCATTTTAATTATAGGTTAGAGGAGTTTATAAATCTGTAATCTTAAGGGTCTCAAGTCACCAGGACCCTCATTGTATTAAGATTTGCTACCATTTTAATACATTTCTGCACCAGTCCACCAAGATGGCATTTGTATAAGGAAAATGCATACATATAGACACACCAGCAACATTATTGCAAGGGGGGAGGAGGGGAAGAAGAAAACTTTTGTTCTTTTATTCTCCCCATATCTGTTTTATGAACTGAACTTTGTGGGTTCAGTTAAACAAGGCTAAATAATCCTGCTTGATTAGCCATGCATCAAGAGTGTTTGCAATGGAGTTTTCATTTCCCTTGCCGCCCAGAATGAGATGACAAAGTTGCACTGGCTGAGGAGCTCAGCAAATTCCAATCCATGGCAGCCTTGAAGTCAGCAGCCAGAGACAATATATAGCCAATGATATTCCCAGCAGCAAGGAAGAAGGTCACATATGCCATCTTCTTCCTACTATATTTACTTTATTAGTGGGAAGTGGGTTTACTTTTCACTGCACTTTTATTGAGAAATTTAAAAAGGTACATTTCTAGTTTTGGAATGATCAGAACAAGATACAAATGCTATTTCTTAACCGATTTAACAGTGTACAAAAAAAATCACAAAAAATGCAGTCTCAACAACAGGATAATCAGTACTCTTCCCTCAAAGTAATCTAGGAATCACACAAGGAAAGGGAGGATGGTCTACATATTTTCTTGAAAAGAAAAATATCAAGTACAAAGGCACTAATTCTTTTGGCGAATTAAGACATAAACAATTAACAAATGTATTTTTCCCAATTATGGGCAACCACTCGCCAAATGAGCCCACCCAGCTAAATTTTATTCAGAAGACTGTCTCTCACAAGCATTCTACTTATAATCTAAACGCTGGTTGCTTTAAACAGATTTACTGAAATCCACAGGAACTGCTGCCAACTATAGTCACAGAAAAATACTATGAATTTCTTTCTAGCAGGATAGCCTCACATACACTTTAATATCTGAAAGTAGCAAAAAATAGAAGTATAAAATTAGCTGTCATATTGCACAACAAAAATATAATTGCATCAAACAATCAAAATGGGAGATGACAGCAACTTTTAAAAAGATTGCACTGCCAAAATGACTTATTCTCTAGGCTTTAAAATATCAGTGAATTCAGCTGAAAATACAATCATAGAGTCAGAAATGTAAAGAAGTACAATCCTTGTATTTGTAGTTTATGCGTTTAAAATTAAACTATGTTATTTTTTATCAGAATAAATATTTAAATGATTTCTATGAATACAAGTAGCCACACTGACAGCTTTAATACCTTGTTTTGGCATTCATGTATGTTTTAGGCACTCCTGATGCTAAAACCCTATTGGCTATCCAAGTGTGAACTGCAGATCTGTGGGGAAACAGATCTTATTTGAATAAAAGGGCAATGAGATTATTAGTATTTAATAGGCTATAATCTTCTTAAAAAGAATAGATCACTTGTGAAACCAAAGACTTCTCTTTTTGTTTCATTTAAACTGATACAGTACCAGCAAATTTTTCAAAAACAAAGACTGAGCAAATGTTTCATCTTTATTTTTTAATATAAAGATGAATCATAAAATACTGTGTGGCTTAGAAGGACACATAGCAAATGTCCTTCACAGTTATGCCAAAGAAAAGACAAAAATAGAAACTTTGTAGAATCAACAATCAAAGAATGGAAGGAAGGAAATTGAGTTCACAGCGCTCCTTGTCTTAACATCCAGCATGGCCATACACAAAACATTTTTTTTTTATCCATTCTTCCTTTGAAAATAATTACAAGCAAATGTAGACAAGAAAGTTTTATTCCTAAAATATAGACATTTCTAAAATAAATTACATTTTTAATATTATTTTGCATTAGACTGCTCTAGAAATATTATTTTCCACCTGTTAATATTTTATTGATTTCAAGTTGCAAAAGATGGCAAAACATGGAAGAAGGAGACTACATTTAACAAACAGACTGCTTGTTGATTTGTCTAGGCGTGCAAATAGCCCATAGTTAACCTCTCCTCCATGCTTTTTAAAACCACTTCACTTTTTCCCCTTCTTCTTGAAAAAAAGTCATTAAATGGGCCATCATGGCCAATTTGCTCTCAAGACCTGAAATAACAGCAGTTTCATGATTTTTGTAAGCTTTTAGGAGCGTTATTCTCTTTCTATACATAACTAATCCGTTCTTCCCTGCCTGGCGCATTACTGGTGCATCATTACAACTTAGCAAAGGCATGATATAAATGGATATATCTCTTGACATTCTTTTCTTCAGACTGCATCTAGCAAACATATTTAAATAAGAGGAAAAAGAGAGAAAATGAATAATCAGCTTTGTGTAAGAAATAAATTTGGATAGAATCGCAAGCCTTCTACAGAATCATCTCTGCAAAGCTGGCCCATCTTTTCAGCTAACAGCAACCTACAAAAAGAATAAAATATTTTTAATTAAACCAATTATAATTTCTTCTGTTATTAGGATCAGAATACGTGGAGGGGTTTTACCTTTCTTTGGCTAAAAGCACAGACATTCCTACAAGCTTTGCAAACTCTTCAGCGGTAAGAGATCCCTTCTCAGAAACCTAAGAGGGAAGAAAGGGTTCAAAGCTGAGTAAATATTCTGTATTTTGCAATGCTTTTCTACCATCTTACCAGTTTTTTTCATATGCCTATTATATAGTGAGTATCTATTTTTCTAGTATCTTTGATTCAACAACCTTACCATTCTGAGCAATTGTTAAACTTCCACACATTTTTTCATGCAAACCTTACATCAAGATGGAAATAAAGGGCTTGAGTTTTCATTCACATCCCCCCAAAATAAACCACGCAGTACTGTAACTACTAGGAATAAACACCACTGCTTTTAGAGATAAAAGACACTGTCTTGTTGTGACGGTACCCTTAATCTTTAGATCAGAGTTCCTCAATCTTTTCGGTTTTGCGGACTGGCTGGGGGGGGGAGGGAGAGAAGGGATGGTCCCGCGTGTGTGGCAGGCAAGCAATGCATATGTGCGCAGCTCCATTTGCACAAGCAGTGGGAAAGCCACCTGCCACTCACTCAGATGGAGTACATGTGTACGTCATTGTCCACTGCTTCCGCAAGTGAGGATGCACGCATGGTAGCCCGCCACATATGTGGCCCGGTTCCGAAAGGCTCAGTAGTGGGCTGTGGATTGGGGACTCCTGCCTTAGATGACTGGTAGGAAATCAATCGAAAAGCTAGTCTTCCCTAATCCCGGCCCTAGGAGTGGTTGATAAAATGAGAGAGTGAGGCAAAGAGAACTCCCATAATCCAGTGGCCCTTCTGAAGAAGACTGCATGCTTCTGTTGGCAACAGTGATACTAGTACATGTTTACAAAGACAAGAATGACTCTTGCACATGAGTATGTAATTGCAATTATGAATAATACTGAAGATGGCTTTGTAAACATTTCCACCAAGAGACATATGGATATCATCTCTGGATGATTAAGGTTCACAAGTCATCAATGGCTTGCTTAGCAAAACTTAGTATGATATGCAAACACAGGACTCTAGTTCCATCTACCCTCCCCCCCCATGGAAACATCATAATCTGATAATTTTTAATTATCAGGTTAATACATTTATTATTCACTAGCTTCCCCTGGGCAAAGTCAGAATGTTGCTTACCACACCTTATGCTAAAGTTGCTTAATCAAGCTAATATATTATCAGCCATTCATCTTCTCTCAGGTGGATTTGACTCTGAATAACTTAAAGTGACATGCAAACTGGCCTGTTCTAGGGAACTCAGGCCATAAATCTATGAAATGACATTAGGAAGAGCATGTTGTGGGTTAAGAAAACATGGAACATTTTTTTTAAGCTTATTATGTTGGGCTTTCCCCATATATAAGTTGTCTGTGAGAGTTACATGAGAACATAATCCTTGTCTGGCCTCGACAAATCCTCAGAATTCTGAAAAAACAATTCTCTGTTGTCCTCTTCTCTAAGTGAATCAATGTGATAATCCCATATCAGCAGTATCTAAGGGGAGGGAAAGGGCTCAAACTGAAGAGATCGGCTTTACAATGTTCTGATGCAAGCACTGCCTCTTTTCTATACAGGTAGTCCTCGACTTACAACAGTTCATTTAGTGAATGTTTGAAGTTCCAACGGCACTGAAAAAAAGTGACTTATGACCGTTTTCACACTTCCGACCATTGCAGTATTCCCATGGTCACGTGATCAAAATTCAGATGCTTGGCAACTGACTCATATTTATGATGATTGCAATCTCCTGCGGTCATGGGATCACTTTTTGTGATCTGACAAGCAAACTCAATGGGGAAGCCAAATTCACTTAACAACTGTGTTACTAACTTAATTGCAGTGATTCATTTAACTAACAATAATAATAATAATAATTTGTCAATGCCAATGGTGTTCAAGTGGTGCTCCAGTTGCCTTGTGTGCAATTCCAAAACAACTGGAGCACCACTTGAACACCATTGGCATTGACAAATTTGCCATTAGTCAATTGCAAAAGGCAGCCTTACTAGGAACTGCTTCCATCCTGCGACAATATCAGCAATACCATCAAACATCCACATTTGCCTATCCCAGGTCCTTGGTAAGGACTCAATAGGTAGACAAAATGCCAAATCCAGTCTGAACATCTGGCTGACTACGATAATCCATAATAATAATAATAATATTGGAAGGGATTTTGGAGGTCATCTAGTCCAACCCCCTGATCGACCCCATGGCAAGAAAAGTCATAAAATGTGGCCAAACTCACCAAATGTCTCACTTAGCAACAGAAACATTGGGCTCAATTGTGGTCATAAGTCGAAGACTACATGTATGTGATACAATGCAACACGAGCACCCAAAAGAAATAGAATTTATGGCACAAAGCAGTACGGTTTATCAGAGAGAGATCCTGTGGACCCATATACAATAGAGTTCTTGGCAGAAGAAGGGGTAACAAATGGGTAACAACTTTGATAAATATCTAGCTTATCTTCATTACATGTGAAATGACCATCCCTTCTTTTCACATAAAGCTTGTTCCCAGTCCCAGAAACAGGAAACCTTTTGAAGCTAAGCTAGTGCCCCTAGCCTTTAGGTCAATTACCAGGCCTTTCCTGCTTTGCAATTTAATTTAACGAATTCGTTTATTATTTTAAAAAGTAAAGCAAAAACAAAAACATGTCTAATGTTTAAAAACGGGGTTTAAAATGAATTCAAAAGTTTTCCAAACAAGTGTTTCCATGATAGTCTAGATGGAAAAGAATTAAAATATTGCAGAAAATGTCTGTATTTGCAGTACAAGAAACCTGTTTCAATAAAGATAGGAAATAACGTATGCAGACAGGGGGGAATCTATCAACATTAAAGTTAAATATGCTGAGCCCAAATCAGATAGATGCCTTTTCGCCTGGTAGGCGAATGCACGGGTTTCTACGGATGTGTGCTTAACAAAAAATAATAAGAAAAGGAAGAAGCCCATCTAGACGCAAGGTTAGGCAATAACAATGTGACTGTTCCCTTAAAATACATACTGTCTCTAAAGCAGAAGCCACCATTTCTTCTTCATTATGTGATAGGAGTTCAATCACCATAACGCCACTGTCGAATATGCGTAACCTAAATCCCCAAAAGAAAGAAAAACACAAATCTCAACTCTATTCTGTCACCAAAGAGTTGGACTACTAACAAATATGATGTCCAATGCTAATAGCACTAACAGTAGCATTAGTCTTATATATCACTTCATAGAGCTTTAGAGCCCTCTCTAAGTGGTTTACAGAATCAGCATATTGCCCCCCAACAATCTGGCTCCTCATTTTACCAACCTTGGAAGACTGGAAGGCTGAGTCAACCTTGAGCCTTGTCAGGCTCAAACTCCTTGCAGTGAGCAAAGTTAGCCTGCAATACTGCATTCTATAACCACTATGCCACCTTGGCTATAATACTCTGTTTTGGTACCCTCTTCCTCCCCTTTGCGCTTAGAAGGACACAATGAAATAGAATACTTCCATATGAGGATCTAGAGGCAGAAATTCTAGCAGTTCCATGGCTTCACAACAGGCTCAACCTGAATACTGAATTAACTGGTCTTCTTGGTTTAAATACAACTGTAAGCTGATTTCACATTAATACACTGAAAAAATTAATCAAGTTTAGCACGTTGCATAAAGGCAGTGCCTAAGTTTGTAACTGATCTTGTATGAACACAGCTTAAAGTTAGTTGCCACCCATATACTAATGCCTGCTGAACTCCTTTCTTACAAATAGGCAGTGCCCCTAACTAGATTTTCTCATATCTCCATCACCCATGGTTTCCTCAAGTTCCTGTTTTTCTACCATGGGTTATTATGTCTTGCTTTCTTTAGCCATTTTAATTAGCCTTCCCCATGCTCCTCCTCCTTCCTCATTGTATGCAGCCTGCTTTGATCCGAAGAACAGAGAGGGTTTTTCCCAGAGCCCCTGCTCATCTACTAGGTCCTTCTTTGCAATTCCACACTTCCTCTTTCCGGTTCCTGAAATGTTCTTTATTTATCCACCTTTCCAATTTCTTTTCCACACTGTCCATCCATAGCAATTACATGACTTGCAAACTCTGCTTGATTTACAACTTCCCTATGTGTAAGCTTTTATCTCAATCCAAATATCGCATAACTCTTTCCTCGTGCATTTATACTGTTAATTGCTAAGTTCTCCATTTTTTAAAAAATAAAACCTACAAAACTATTCATTTTAAACAGATCTCCCATATAATTATTGGTCTATCAAATATTAGTCCTCTTAAAGTGGAGGACTACAGTTCTATTTGGGAGGTTTTATATATATATATATGTAAAATTTCCATTTGGTAAGATAAATAGCTGTGTGTTTGGCAAAGAAATCAAATCAAATCTCTCTGTAGTATTTCCATTCCATTAGTCTGGAACATAGCTGTCAACTTTTTTTTAA